ACTAAACTTCATTACCGACCAAAAACTGGGGGCGCATGTCGAGATAAGGGTGTTCCACTCGTCTAAAATATCCAAAGGGAGGAGGTTGAAGCTAATCTTTCGGCCGCAAGACCTGGCAAGACGGGAGTGCATAGAACGGATCGATAGCATGCGCTGACAGCGTCTGCTGGCGCGAACAACAAAACGGACGAAATAGCACCTATCAGAACGCCTCTCAAAACCTGGGCGTTGATAATGGGAGGGGTTTTGGAGGAAGGGGGGGAGGTGATAGAAGAGAGGGTGAGGTCGGCAAAGAGTAAAGATAAGAAATGTGGGAAACGAAGAAGAGGAAATGATCGCAGCGGATTAAGAGTGACAAGACAGAAGAAAAGTAAGTGCGAAAGGATTAATTATGCTGAATAAAGGGGGTTTCGGAAGATAATCTACGAAATTGAAGCTTGCTTTCCCGGAAGCAATTTGAGCAACGCAAAGGCAACGAGTTTTGCAGAATGTAATGACGTCATAAAATTTCGTGACTCTGTATTCAACTGCATACGGTCAATAATCAGAAAAAAACTGTTCAATTAAGTATCGATCTAGAATGTTAAAACCTAATAGGTGCATATAATATGAGCAGTTGGTTTTAGATGCGTATGCGTATGGTGAAGGGGAAGAGGAGGGGGAAGCAGTTATTGAAACAAGGCAATTCAGGTTAAAGTGAATAAGAATTGAATTAGGTCATGACATTGTACGACGTCATTTAATAATCTAGGAAACCTTAAAGAAAAAATGGATGGAGCTGACTACAGGAGGACACTTATGTGGATGCGCAAGGAGAGATTGGGGAGAAGGAGAGGACAAGCAGGATGGCGGAGTAGAAGTCGGATAAAGAAAAAAGGCATAGTGGATCACAAGATAAAATCTGCACTTACTTGATCCCGGTATACGTAACCGAGGGTGGCACCCACGACCTGGACGGTGAAGATAATGATCAAGAAGGTGAAGTAGGTAGCCAGCAGACCGGCGGACTCATGGTAGGCCCCACAGCATCCAAAAAGAGCTACGATCAGGGTCAGTGCGCCGATGCCCATGAGGATAAAGATGACGGTTGTGGCAATAACACGACTGCCCGATGCCTCAATCAACTCCTGAGCTGCCGGTTCAAGGTAGGCAAATACAGCGAAGCCCAAGATGACTAGGCCAATGAGCTGAAATACAAGAGGACATACGACATGCTGTCATTGTGTGTGGTTCGAAAGTCGACATAAGAAAGGCAACCGACTTTAATTTTCTACAAAAAATAATGACTGATTGCATAAGATACAAATTTTTAAAGTGGTTTTCGTAGCAGAAACAGCACGAGGAGCGTCTCTGCCTTTCCGGAAGACGCGAGAAGAATTGACACATGAGATTCTGATTTGTGTGGAGAGTGGGGTTCAATAAATCCGAACAGTAAATCGTGCATCTCAAAAAGAGATTACAAATAGGTACGACCACTCAAACGCCCGCGTAAACAAGGAAGGCAAGTTTTGAAGTCATAAACATGACTTAGCAGTCCGGTGGAAGCGCTACCAGACGAGCTTCGAAGTTGTCCGTGGCATCGAAAGACTTTAAAAAGCACGAATCGGCACACACAGATCTATTAGTCTCCCGAATAAAACACGTTCCATGTGGATGACTAGAAGTATGAACAGACAATCAACTACCAGGCTGGAGTCGGTAAAGTTATAATTGCAGAGGGGGGAGCGATAGAAAATGCGGGTAGAGTGATAGTCTGTTTCGGGCTGATTCTGCCTTTATTCAGCCAACCATAACCCTGGACAGTAGCTGGGACTGGAAACACAAACGTCAGGCAGGGAGGGAGGGGGGCAGGATAAGCACGAAACAGATTGTATCAATCCCTCCGCATTTTCTGTTGTCCATACTCGTTGCAATTATAACTTTCAGTTGACCCAACTGTGAAAAATTCGTAGCCTCGCTGGAAGTCGAACCCGCACAACAGGGAAGGCTTTTGCGCAGGCAACGTTCTACCATTGAGCTACGAGGCTCACTGTGCGCCGTAAATTTAATCACACTTCGATCGATTTCACCCGCCTAACTTACTGCTCGTATGGAATCCACCTTTATGGAACAGCAAGCTGACTGCCCATGCAGTATTTTTTAAGCAATCATCTAGAATCCACCAGAATGACTACTAGGCTCACTTAATTATTAAGGGGGTTTGGTAGATTTACTTAATTCAGTTGACCCAATTGCGAAACATGCGCGACCTCGGTGGGAATTTTTCACAAGTGGGTCAACTTAATTAAACAAATCTGCCAAACCCCCTTAACAATTATAACTTTGCCGACTTCGGCCTAGTAATTGGTTGTCTGTTTTGGAACTTTGCCATTCATACGGTGGTTCTTTGCTTTGCGAAACTGGTAGATTCATGTGCGCCTATTCCTGTCTTGACATATATACTGTTATGAGAAACCCCATTTGGGCAAAAGGGTTTTCAAGTCATTCCTAGGGGGCCGTTTCGCTGATTGGACTGCAAAAGGAAGCACATTCCTTCAGTTTTGCCCTGGGAATCCAGTCGGGCGCCTCCGTAAGTGGTCGTAGGGCGACCAACCAACCATGGACAGTGTAGATCGGACCGATAAGGCGCGAAGTAGATCAAGTTATAATTAAAGGAGTGAGGGACGAGAGATTGTGGGAAGTTGGTATGGTACTGGATTGGGCTTATTTCGTCTGCATTCAGCCAAAGATAAGCCTGACCACCAGATGGGAGCCAGCAACACGATGCAGATGGTCCAAAGATGGGTGTAATAGAGTTTATTTGCCTAGGGGAGCCAATAGGTCAGCATGCACCTCTTCCTGATTTAATAAATACGCGATCTGTGGTGACGGAGGATGAACAG